ATTCAAGAACAGAGACTCTGCAGCTGACGATGACAGAAGTCCTGAAGAGGCAGTCTAAAAAGGGCCACAACCAGGTGAACGGTGGTTTGACCCATGGTACAAAATACAGCCTCGTGCACGTCCAACCTTTAAAACCCTTCCTCTCTCTCTCTCTCTCTCTCTCTCTCTCTCTCTCTCTCCACGTTCAGCACATCTCAGTGTCAGAGGTGAAGGTGGACGAGGTGCAGGTGAGCGTTGGAGACGACGGGACCACCTTCGCTGTGTGTCTGGATCAGGATGAGAAGAAGTTCATCCAGAGTGTGACCAGGTACAACACAGCATCACTGACGACCAATATCTTCTTCAGTCGCCTACTTAACCGGGGGGAGGAGGGTTAGGGTTTGCTGTCATGTCGTCCATCTTTATAAACAGTCTGTGTTCGATATATATAAATACAAATCACAATCCAGTATTTCCCACCAAAGTACTAAATACTTGTAAAGGGTACTTATGTACACACACACATGCAGTGATGCTGAACGTTGTGTATCTGCAGGTGCGACGTGTCTCTGTGCTGCAAACCAGGAAGCAGCTCGGACTGGAGGTCGTACAAGCTGCTCCCAGGTCAGGTTCAGCCTCTGCACCCGTCCTACTGCTCCCTGCTCTGCCTCCCCATCACCTCCTTCTCTGCCTCCTGACACACACACTCCTGGGGAGTCAAACACTGCGGGGATCCTCACGCAACCTGGCGACTGAATGACGTCTGAAAAAACGAAAGCAGAGAAGAAGTGGCACCTAATAATAGTGACATAATGTTTAACCTACACACTGTGTATTTCAGGTTTGTCTTTGTACGGTGTGTCTGTTCTGCAGCTTCGATCTCAGAAGACTCACTGTGTATTAATTAATGTCGTTAATGTTCTTGTTTGGAGGATTTCACAGGAAGCAGAACTTTGAGAGAAACCGATTACTTGATTACGACTGTGTACGTTCTTTTAATCCCCCTCTTTGTCTTGTACAATAAGCTATTTATTTTTGAAGCGATAGCTGTGTTTTTATGTGGCGCACAATCGAATAAAATAATGTTTCAGTGAGCTGTGTGTGTTCTTTGTTCTCACCTTTCTTGAACTTCCTCCTACGAGTTAATCACACCCTCTTTCATTCCTGCGAGGATCGAGGTGTCCTGCCCGTGCGGTTGTTTCACTCGGCGGTGGCAGCGGGGGAGAAACCTTTGTTTTTTATTTTCATTTTAGAAAAATTGAATCTACATCGGTAAGTTTTATCATTGCACGCATGTCGTTTACACATTCGAAATGTAGTTTGAATCGAAATCAAAGTTTTCTTCAGGGACAGGCGTAGATAAATGTTTGAATGTTTCAGATAATGTTTTTATTTATTAATATTTAACTTCGTTGTGCCGCTGACAACAACATCATCAGGTGTGAAGACCTGAACTCAGCAGAAATATAAATATAAATTCTCAGATATGAGAAATTGTAGATCTCACAGGTTCGTGCCTTTATTTCCACCTCGGCTCTTTGGAATTATTGTAACACACAAACTTGTTTTACAGGTTAAAGCTTTGATAAGAATCCTATGGACCTGATTTTGTTTGTACCTGTGGTTAAATATCACGACAGTAACATATGATCTGTGTTTTCAGCTGACATGTCTGTCTCAGCTGTGCAGTCCAGTCTGCACACTGAGGTCCGGGCTCTGCTCAAAGAGATGAACAGCAGATGTACTTCACAGAAAGGTAGAGTGAAAGAATAATACAAGTTGTGATAAAACCGGTAATATTGTTATTATGTTATTTAAAAAATGAAATTTTTGATGAAATGAATTCTCAAATGGCTCTGGGGATATAGAGCGGGTTGTCCACTAACTAGAAGGAAGGACGTGTTGCATGAATGGATGAATATGACTTTTATTTTGTGGTTAAATAATAAAACTAGAAAGGTGCAATACAAATAAAATTTTCTTTAATTTACCTTTTTCTATAGAATAAAAAAAAGATGAATAATGATTTATTCTTGCACAATGTAAAGTTAATTATCTTTGCATGTCCTTATTTTTGTGGCTTCATAACTTTGCTCCACATTCCTCATTTCATCTTCTGACAAAATAAAACTTCACCCTCTCGCCCCGTTCATCCGTCACGTATGTGCACCGCCACGTGTGACGCCAACGCCATCTGTCTGCTGCAGGATGGATAAGATGGAGTCTTGAGAAGAAGCTGGAGGTGGATCCGTCCTGCAGCGTCTCCCTCATCTGTGTGCTGGTCAAGGAGCTGGAGAAGAAGCTGAAGAAGGTTGTCCCTCAACTCTGCCTCCAGATTTCAAAATAAGAGTGCAAATTTACCAGAGCTGATCATAAAGGAACTTTTTGTTGTCGATTGATCCAGATGCATAAAACACAATCCCACGTGCACGTCATCCCGATACTGCACACCCTCTACTATGCAATCATTCAGGTAAGACGCGTCTGTGTGACTGGGATGATGAGACGTTTGTAATAGTGACCATAGTGTTTCTAACTTTCTAATACTGAAACTTTGCAGTCAGATTCCACGATTCCTCGCAGCCTTTACCAGAGAGTACACGAGTGTTTGATGAGGCTGCTGATTTTACCGAGGCCTCACTCTGCTGTGGTCCTGAGCACTCTGAGCAGCGTTCAGACGGAAATGACCACTCCAGGTAGAACGCAACACATTTTTCAAAGGGCCGTCCTCAGTTTGTCCTCACACTGGAGCAATGCCGTGAAAGTTCAGACACGTCCTCTCCTCGACAGGCTCCTTGCACCAGAGGAGAGTCATCGCTGAGCAGAACCTGAAGAGTAAGAATTTCACCCTGCAAGAAAAGTGAGTGAAGAACTCCTGTCATGGAAAAGGAGTCGAGCGTAATCCTGAGTGAACTAGTTTAAAGCCGTACTGTTTGCTGGTTTCCTTCAGGGTGTTTGTGCTCGCAGACCCAGATGTTTTTACTGCACAGCTGGAGGCCACAGTGAGGACGTACCTGGAGGTGTCCGGCCTGTTGAGGGACACACCCACAGCCATGAAGAAGAATCTGATGCTACGAGTGATGCAGAAGGGTCTGGGGACGGCGTGCAGGAGCTCCACGCTGGCTCAGGCTCTGCAGGTACACTGGTCTATAAAGAACCTCAACGCCAGGCAACAGTGCTATCCACTGCACCACTGTTACGGTTTTGCATCATGGTCCCCAGATGATAAGTTCCTCGTTCTCAGAGCAGAGGTTACATCTGAGTCTTCTGTGTATTTCAGGCTTTGGACGATCAGATGGTGGAGAAACGCTTCGAGGAAGTGGTGCAAGCTGTGGAGCGGAGTGTAAAGCACGGTGCAGGTGGATGTGCAACGTATCTGAACGGACTGCAACACATACAGAGAGACATGTTAACTGCTGCTACAGAAGGTGTGTGTTCTGCCCGCACCGACGATTATCAACAGAGACATGAAGAAACGTTCCTGCAGGATCTTTCTCCTCCTTCCTCTGAAGTTACAGAGGAAGACTGTGGCTCCGTGTGCAGCAGGATGTTGTCATTTCCACAGATCAGTTTCCTCCTGTGGACAAACGAAGAGGATCTATGTGAGTAAAAAAAAACGTCTGCTGTTAATGTGTCTGTTCGTTCCGAGCTAAATAAATGTGTCTCCTGCAGGGAATCTGCTGGCAGACTTCTCCCTGAGCTCCGGCTCCAGATCGAGTGTGGATGAAGACAAGAAGGACAAAAGAGACGGGTCTGAGGACGGTGGGACCAAGAGACGTCTGAAGGAGAGTGACTTTGGGGACACGCTGCAGCCTCTGGTCAAAAATCCGTCCATAGCAATCTCACGGAGAAATGCCTGCAAGAAAGGAAACCCAGGAGATAAGCTGAGACTGATGAGGGAGAAGATGGAAATGCTTCCCGGGAGCCGTCGTGTCCTGAGAGACGACTGCAGGTGCCTCACAGCGCGGGTGGTGGTGATGGGGGACGACCGAGTGCTCGGACGGCTCAGCAGGGTTCTGCTCTCTATACGGTGAGCTGCAGGTCTGTGGTTCTCTCTCTCTGTGTGGTGCAGCACAGTTATGTCCTCTGTGTCTTTCCCAATAGAGAGCGAGAGTCAAAACGTCTCATTCTGACCAAGAAGCTGAATCTAGAGTTGTACTACGTCCCCGTTGTCGATGTGGAGCCTCAGCCCAGATCACCCGTGAGTGACACCGCCACACCGACGGACTGGTGTGACCTTAGAGCTGGATGTGATATCTCTTCATGTCTCTGATAGGACGGCCCGTGTCAGGACGAGGGGAGACTGTCCCTCGCCGGCTTGCTGGGGAGAGTGGATCCCTGGTACAACAGCAACATCAACAGTCTGAGAGCCACCATCTCCAACCTGGCCAGAAAGGTACCTGAGGATTTAAAGAAAAGACAAAAACTGTACAGTCACATTAACATCTCTGAGAGACTTTGTTCAGGACCAATAATGATTTGAGTTGAGGACGTTTATAAAATCCAGCATCGTAGTTTTTTAGTATTTTAAAATGTCTCCATCAGCACGAAACAAAAAGTACATCTCCAGACTCCAGATTGTAAAATGAAAGTGTTCGCATCCGTCCTCATTTCTGGATTGTGGGAGGATTTGGACACCGGGCGTCCATCTTTATCTCAGAGTGGAGCTGGACCGTCTCGTTTCTCTGTCTGTCTGTCTGCAGCACACAAATCACAGGGAGTCAGAATCGGACCAAAACCTCTTCCTGTTGGACACCCTGTGTTACTACCTCCGCTGTGGGACGCAGCCAGTGAACCTGCCGATGTATTCTGTGAAGGTACAGGACGGATGTCCTCCACTGATTTACATGCACGAAAACGTCCAAGAGCAAGTTTGTGTTCTCATATTTCAATAGAAACTCTGTGTACTGTGTATTTACTATAGTAGTATGGAGTGGTGATTGGAGGACAGTATAAGGACAGGGACGTCCTCAGCAGGAGTAGACAGAGTGTTCAGTGGTGGAGACACATGATGTAGGAATATCTTCAGCTAAATACAGCGTGTGTTCAGATGACGCGGTGCGGCAGTGACGCGTCCTCTGTGGTGGAGGACGTGTTCGTGTCCCATCTGGAGGCCGACATGCTGGAGTTCAGACACCTCAAAGAAAAGTTTCCAAGTAAGTTCCTTCATCTCCACCAGTGTGTGTGTGTGTGGACACAGACAGACAAGTGTGTGTGTGTGGACACAGACAGACAAGTGTGTGTGTGTGGACACAGACAGACAAGTGTGTGTCGTGACATCAAGTGAAGGGTTGTTGTGCTCGACAGAGGAACCGTCCTCACGCAGGAAGAAGTCGACCGTAATCGTCCACGGTGCCGTCGTCTCAGTCAGTTACACAGAGGTACTCAAACGTCCTCATACTTAAAGTCAGGTCGTAACTTCTCCTGTAATAGTAGAGTTTGGTTTTATCGTCTCTATCGTTAACAGACGTCGTTAAGCAAACGAAGAGTCGTACGGGGAGAAGCGCGGATGGCGTGTGGCGTGGTGATCACCTCAGAGCCGGCAGCTGTAACCACAGGTTCACCGCTCGCATTCATTTAGGTTTTTATTCCAACAAAAGAAGAATCACTTTGGAAAACACGAGTCATTATTATTATTATTATTATTTTTTCCCTTTGTGAAGGTGAGGATTTCCTCTGGGTCAGTTTTGACAACATTAACCTGGGAGACAACAAAGTAAGAACTCAATTACTAATAACTTGTGTTTATGTTTTTTTTAAAAAATCATTGTCTTACATTTCTACGGTTTTTCTGTTTTCATAGAAAATCCGAACACAAAACCTCAGAATCAGGACGATGGAGGATCGAACGCTCTGCGTGTGTCTGGACAGAGACTCTCGCAGGACGTACACTGACGTCCAAAGGTAATTCTTGAGGCTGCGCATTGTTTTTATTCTTTATTTCACCTGACGCCGGTTGAAACCAAAGAGTTACGTCCTTTCTTCTTCTGCAGAATAGACGTCTCTCCGTGCTTGGACCCAGGATGCAGCCTCCGCTCCAGGTTCAACGTCAGTAACGAGCGAGAGCCGCCGCTGAGCAAGTATCTGAACAACGTCCTGTCGCTGCCCATCAACACCTTCAGTGGTGTGACCCCGTGAGGGACGTCAGGGACACGAGGGACGTCGTGTGGACAGATCAGGATGTTTTCAATCAGCACTTTCATGTTCATGCACGGGACCTGCACTCAGGAAGTCAAATCCAAGAATTACTGCTGCACATATTGTACAATTACACAACTTTAATCTTTAGATCACAAATAAATAAATGTCTTTGTCTTTGTCTCGTCTCGAGTCGGGTTGTTTCTTGTCTTTTACTTGTCTCATCTCATCTTGGGTTGTGTTTTGTCTGGTTGTGTTGTGTCTTGATTCAGATCTTAGTTCAGATCTTAGTTGTGTGATCCAGATCTAAGTTGTTGATCCAGATCTTAGTTGTTGATCCAGATCTTAGTTGT